GGACACTCTGAGCACGGGGGTTGGAGCCAGTAAGGAGCGATTGCGAGCCAGGGGACGATGGTTAGGGAGTGGTAGGGTAGGATGCAGTGACAAGGAGGGAATTCGGTCCCTAAGATAATGATTCTGGGCCGTGCAAGGACGTGACATGTGTATGGGCTAGAGTAGCTGGGGAGATGGGGGCCATGTCCCAAGGCCTGGTTGAGGTCCCACTCGCAAATACGTTCGTTCCCCATTTCCGGAGGTTCCGCCCAAGGTCGTGCAGCCTGGTGCAGGCAAACAAGAGTGCTCCCAATATTTCCAGAATTCCCGATCCCTCAAACACTCGCGGTCAGTGACACGAAAGGGAACGCTGAAATTCATGCTGCAAGACGGGGTGGAACACAGACCATTCGGGAAATCAGTCGAGTTAAGGTTTCGCAAACGCGCGTGTGGGCAACAATTGTCTTTGGTCAAGCCTACACGTGCGTGCACGGGACCTGTCCTTCAATCAGGTGGGTGGAAGCCAGCGATTCGCAAGATGGATCATCCTATAGTGAGACGGTCATCTAATAGTCTAGCATGCTTATCCAATTCACACACAGACAGAATCAAGCCTATCATCCATGCATCTAGCTTACATACAAACAAAAAGAATTGAGAATCATGCAACAATTCTTTGGCCAATCAGCCCCGAGATCACACAAGGCCCGATCATCGGGAACCAATCAATCAGATTTGCCTATTCAAAAAGACAGAGACGAGGAGTGGGGAAAAACAATCCACATGTCAGTCTCCGACGAAAGGAAGCAATGAAAATGAAAACTTTGAGATGCCGATTAAAAAAAAGGACCAGGCGACTGGCACCGATACGAAAATTACTTAGAAGAATGGAAGAGAACATCACCACAATACATAATCCGAGCATGCAAGACAGCCTATGCACCACAGTCTGTCGCAGCCTCACGTCATCCTCGCATGCCCAGCACTAGCTCGTCGGATCGCCCCAAACTCTCTACTCACCTTCCAAATCTCGCTCGTTAGCAGATCCTCCCGACCGCGCTAACTTCCAAAATTCTTAGAGAGCGAGTTAATCACGCTTGCGAAATTTATAGCATGCATGCTTGCGCGAGATACCTGGGGTTGTGCCTAAGTGAAAACAAAAAAGAAGCAGGAGTAAGGAAGTGCCTACGTCTGCATGGCCAGGCCATGGCGTGGGGGACGTAGCCTCACCATGCATCGATCCAGTCATGCAAGCGTTCAGGCCAATAGGGAATGAGGAAGAAGTACGCGCGCACAGGGATGCCACAAAAAGATATCAAGAACAGGAGGATTACTGTTACACGCAAGGACTAAGGCGCAGAAAAGTCAAAACACAGATCTTGACGCGGCAAGCAAGAAGCGTCGTGCAACAAAAATTGAGACGAGCCTAAATTCCTAATCTAAATCTTAATTGCAAAAAGAAATTTTGAACGAAGCAAATTTTGAGAGCCCACGAGGCTCAACCTCAATTGAAAATTCAAAAAGATTTTCCTGCACGACGACCACGCCAAAAATTCCCATTTCCCACAGCAGAACAAGAAAGAAGGTATGGCAACAGTTATCTTTCGCGCTCGCTAAAAGGCGCAACCAGCTACCAATCGTCACAAGATCACCCCGGCCTCGATTCGAAAAACAAGAAAAGCAAGGGCACCCATGTAATCCCGCAGGCCCTCCCGATTCAACGCCCGAAGTAGCCTTGCGTAGAAAATCGCACGCTTGCAGAAAACAGTTTGTGACAGCGCTTTGAGCGTGGGCCCTCAAACACGTGAGCACCGACGGCACCCTCAATCAGCGCACAGTTGCACTGTGGCCGGTGAACCTGCATGATGATGGCCAATGATGTATGCCTTCAATCAGCACACGGTTACACAGTGGGCGGTGAATCTGCATGATGATGGCCGATGATGTATGCAACAGATTGCCGATACAAGACGTTGCCTTATGGCAGTGGGTCATTGCCCTCACGCGCCATTAGAAGTGGCAATAGATCTCCTGCACACAACCTTTCGGCGTTTTTTTTTAACTTCGTTATATATTTGTGTCATCCTTGCACAACAGACATGCGGATCTTCTGTCTATCATTCCTATTTTGACAAATGACCCGAAGGCACACACATCTTTCGTTCCAATTGTGACGAATGTCGCAAAGGACCACACATCATTCGAACACCGTGTTTCTGTTTACTCACACTTCCGGCACAGATCATTGCCACGTGGCAGCCTTCACAGTATGGAAGCCTTCACAGTATCACGGGAGCGAGAAATCCGTTAAGATATGTAATGACAAGGGAAAGCAGTCCTCTACAGAGCCTACACTACAAAAATAAAAGAGAAAAAAAAGAAAAAGAAAAAGAAGAAGAAGAAGAGTCTACACTACCCCCCATGACCTTGCTCTTTTTTGCTCAAGGGAAAACTAGGGCCTTTCAGTTTGAAAATGTGTTTCGGTCAATGCTGTGGCAAACAAAGGGAGAATGGTGACTGTATACAACCCAGCTTTAGTGTCGGATGGGCATGTGTTGTATTCGAGGGCTGCCTGAACTGGATAGAAAAGTGAAATCGTGACTGCGCCCTAGTTACCCCTTCTTTTTTGGGGGGGCAAACTGCTCCTGAGGGCATACTCACACTGGGACCTATAATCCCAAATTCCCCCCCAAAAAATAATCCCAAATTCCCCCCAACAAAGGTACAGGACGGGCAACACAGATTTGCCAAAGTCCCAAATGTTCCATTCGTGTGGCCATTTACCAGCCGCGGGGCAAGGGAATTCGGGGCCAGGTCCGGTTTTCGCTTGTTGGTCCTCTAATCCCTTTTTTTGATCACATGCGGCTGTCGGTGACATTCGTCAGTGGTTGATAGCGTATCGACTGCTAGTGTCTATTGTCTTTATTTTTTTTTAATTTTTTTTTCCAAATATGGTCGTTATTTTCGTGGAGGCAGCTGCCCATAGGCCAGTAGAATTTTTTTAAATTCATTTGGTGGCCATTTAGGCTTGGACCCCACTGGCCGGCGGCGTGGAAGTCATTTTCCATTTCCATGTTTACGGGACCCCACTGGACCGCCAGGAAGGTGCGCCAATGCGAATTCGGGACCCCACTGCCAATGCCGGAGTGTCGTGGAAAACCGTCGGAAGCGTTTCCACATGGTCGGCGGCTGGAGAAAACTGTCAGACCGTCCGGCGACTGTTTTCCAAAACCAATGTTTTTTGAGACAGGGGGCGGCATCCCTAAAGATACCGTACCAGGGCACGGGCGGCCTGGTCCAGTGCACGATGGGGTGGACCGTTTCTTCAAACCACGGACAACAGTGGTGCGTCGCACCTTTCGGGTGTGGGAGCGTTCATTTCGGGAATGGCAGTCCTTTTCCACAGCATTTGGAGAATGGCAGTCCTTTTCCACAAGCCGGCGAGACCGTGGCGGTGGGGCCTCGACTTTTTTTGGAAATGTTTTTCCAGACGGCGTTGGCCTTTTTCCGCGGCCAACCATTTTTTCCAACCGCCGAGCAGTGGGGTCCAAGCCTTAGTTGGCCACTTTGCATTGGCGCGAAGCTTCAATACTACGGTTTTTTAGGGGAGGGGGAGGGGGAGGGGGAGGGGGGGGGTTGAATACTACGGAAATTGAGAATACTGAGATGTCCATGGAAGACTGCGCCGGGGCCCAAGTCCCACTAGCAGCGTTGAGCTCCCTCAAAGCCTGAATCTGGACGCTTTGGGGGAGATGTGCAGAAATGGTGTTGAGTTTCCTGAACTGCACGTCTCCACAAACACGTCCAGATTCAGGCGTTGAGGTAGCTCAACGCTGCTAGTGGGACTTGGCCCCGGCGGGAAGGTAGCATGCAGATGTACCGGGTTGGTGGAAGTGTGGATGCACAGCCTGTACGGTCATGATGTCTATGTGAGGCCCCGTGATTTTTCGGTTTTTGGCCCCTTTTTTTTTATGCGTTTTTAAATTAGAAAAGACCCCCCCACACACCGTTTTAAACGACGCTAGTCTGCCCAAATTTTGCAAATTTTTTTTTTTTAAATGCAGCAAAGAATCGAAGACTGGGTAGTCGCCAGTCGTTCTTCAAGTTAGGGCGCTTCTCCCGCCAATCGTTTCTACCTTGTCAGCCATCGTTCAGTTTTTTTTCTTCGAGCTGGGACGCTCGGGGGACTACTCTAATCTTTTTCTTCATTTTCTTTATTTTCTTCTTCTTCTTTCTTCTTCTTCTTCCTCCTCCTCCTCCTCCTCCTCCTCTTCCTCCTCTTCCTCCTCCCGTCCTCTTCTTCCTCTTCTTGCTCCTCTTCCTCCTCCTCCTCCTCCTCCTCTTCCTCCTCTTCCTCCTCTTCCTCCTCCCGTCCTCGACCCCTTCCTTGCATTGGCCTGATTGGGTTTATTCACAGGGCTTGTGATGTTGCATGTAACCTACTACTACCATCTTCCCCCGAACACAACGCACGCTTATTTTGGCTGTATCTGGCCGGAAATATAGCTTGTATACATTCATTTTTAGGGTGCGTTATGTTCGGGGAAAGACGGTAGTGGAATCCACTATGGACCCAATCTATAGCTGGGCAATCAATTTTCCCTGCACGATGCTCACAGGCTCACAGCCATCTGCAACGCTGTGTGCGCCCCCCGGCCTAGCAGAAAAAGGACTATAATCCCATCTGCCACGTGTCAATGGGGCCATGAGCTGGCGGTTTTTAAGGGCGCAGAAAGACAAGAACTTGGCAAAAAAGGAAGAAGAAGAAAAAAAAAAGCCAAGCAAGAAAGAAAGAAAGAAAGAAAGAAAGAAAAAAAGAAAGAAAGAAACGAAGGAAGGAAGAAATGGAAACTACCCGGGAGTCACAAAAAGAGCTGGAGAATACACTTGGGGCAAAAAAAAAAAAACAGTTTCAAATTGCACGTCGGGGAACGTATACAAGCTACTTTTCCGGTCAGGGCGGAAGGAAATTACGAGGACTATTAAAAGAAAATACAAGGAGTCAAGGACTATTCTATCTGCCGGGTGTCAAGCGCTCACTAAGACAAGGACTATTCCTGCTGACAGGCCATTGACACGTGGCACTATATTGCCCACACACAGATTATGGACACAAGGGAAAAAATGCACCACAGTGCGAAAACAATGCTGCAACTTGCGGGAAAGAGTCAAAAAAAAAAAAAAAACGTGTACTAATAGGGAGTCGCTGTGATGAATGTCTGTCATCATCTTGAAACACCAAAGCACACATCCACATCCACACAACCGCACACGCATCCCGAACCCCGTAAACCCACTGTGAGAGAGAGAGAGAGAGAGAGAGAGAGAGAGAGAGAGAGAGAGAGAGAGAGAGAGAGAGAGAGAGAGAGAGAGAGAAAGAGAAATCATATGCCTGACCACACCCAAGACAGAAAAACGTTGGGCAATTCTTTGCAGATGCTGAATTTTTGCATCGCTGTACAATGACGAATTTAAACACAAAACTCGTGCAGGCGACCACCTTTCGTCATATCTCAAGATCGCCTTCCCATCTCTATCCCTCTCTTCTACCTCTCTCTCTACCCCCTTCTCTCTCTCTCTCTCTCCCTCTCTCTCTCTCTCTCTCTCTCTCTCTCTCTCTCTCTCTCTCTCTCTCTTCCTTCTGCATGTAGCTACGTTTTAGGCGAAGCTCCCTGCCGTCTTGACGACGATGCAGGCCCTGGGGTTGCTGTGACCGTTGTTGAAGTTGCCTCCGTCCTTGTACTGGGCTGCGCTGATCTGCACCTTGATGCAGGTGTTGAGGAAGTGGGATGGGTTCTGAATGCTGGGGAAATGCCGAGACGCGATGTGCCTTCCGTTGCCGTAAATGTGGTGACCGCATTTGTTCTGGTCCCAGTATCCGCCTGACAGCAGCGAGCAGTGTGCGGAGTTCACCGTCTGGACCGGCCTCGTGTCGGGCCTGCATTCAAGAAGAGAATCATATCAAAGCAAAGCAAATCAAAACGGAGTTTTCATGTAAATACAATCCGGGGGGAGAGAGAGAGAGAGAGAGAGAGAGAGAGAGAGAGAGAGAGAGAGAGAGAGAGAGAGAGAGAGAGAGCTGTGTTGAAATGACGAAGTTTTCTTTTTTTTTTTCTTTTTGAAAACGCACCCTTGATTCCTAATATATAGTCGTATGCCGTCGTAACGAGGGCGCCTTAGAGGTTCGCCTCAAGGCACACGAAGTGAAAAACGAAACGAGTGCATCTTCCCGCAGAAGATGGGTTGATCCATGCGTTTATCAGAAAAAGTAACGAATGCATTTTGCCACCTACTGTGGGCAGATGCACTGCTGTCTTTTTCGTCTCGTGTGCCGTGAGGCCAGGGGCTCACGTCCGGCAGATGCACTATTTTCTTTTTCGTTTCGTGTGCCGTATCAGTCCGTAAAAACCATCGTGTGAGTATGTGGCCTCATTAGCCTTTCAAGAACAAGGGGGGAACAAAAAAAAAAATCATTTTCCTTCAGAAACAAAATTGGACGACACAGAGAAGATCAGCATGCCCTCCCCCCTCCTCTCCCCCCCCAAAAAAATACAAAAACAGCCTGTCCTTTCAATTGCACGAACGTAAAAAAGAGAAGAACTTTATATGGCCGACGTGATTTTTGCGGCGCAAGGAGGATCGGATTGAATGCCTGAATCTGGCCCAAAAACAAAAAAAGAGGAGGGAAACACATCCTTGCCCCCTCTTGCGTAGCCCCCATGCTCCCCCCCCAAGAAAAAAAACAAACCTTTAGCTTGTAACGCTACGCAAGTAAACGCATGCATGCATCCATGCATGCATACGTACATACATGCATGCATGCATACACCTATATCTATATCCGTACGTAAATATCCATATCCGTACGTATATATTTGTATTTCTATCCATGCGTATAATATATCGATATCTATATCCACACTCAGAGAGAGAGACGGGAGTGGAAGTGGGAAGCCGCAAGGCTAGGAGAGGACAAATATTTGGCATGCAGCGGTATGAGTTTGGAGAAACCAATGTACTCATTCTACCGCTAGTGGCTACAAATGCAAAAAAATAATTCATTCGCCGACCGGTGAAACAAGGCTGAAAGGGGACGAGCGTCGCAAGACAAAAGCACGAACAAGCTCAACATCGACGTTTTTGTTGGTTGGACCTTAACAAAAACAAAAACGAAAACAAAATCATGCGGCGACGGATTGAACGGACGGGAGGAGGGAGAGAGAGAAATAAGGGGAGAGAGAGAGAGAGAGAGAGAGAGAGAGAGAGAGAGAGAGAGAGAGAGAGAGAAAAAAAAAAAAAAAAAAAAAAAGCATCCTTCAGGCGAAAATTGCACTGGAGTGGATGCAGAGAGTTTACCTGGGTAAGAATGCACGTGCACCCTGGGGTTTGGGAAAAAAAAAAAAAAAAGAATCCACGTGCCTGGATGTGGAGATGGAGAGGCGCGGTCTGACCTGGTTAGATTTGCGTGCGTTAAGACGTGAACACAGTCGTTTCTGTCCTTTTCCCAAAATAGTAAATACAGGATATACGATATCCTACCCCTTAAGCAGCATTGGCCGTGGGGCAGAGGTCGATGGTGTGCTGCGTGCCAGATTTGGGGTCGAAAGTTTTGAGGAGGGCTGGCAGATGAAGGCGATCCAGGGCGGGGCATTGTGCAGAGAGGCGCGCGTACCGAAATGTTCACAGTGCGCCATTAAACGAGTGAGCGCGCCCACGGGGCCGTGCGGCAGCGGGCGTAGATGTGAGGGAATATCTTGAAGCCGCTGCCGTTGTAGCGGACCTCGGGTTGGCCTGTGAGACTAGCCCCCTTGGTCTGTTCTCACAGGCCTGTGTTGTATTCGGGGTAGGCCAGTCCAGGCCAGTACCTCTGTCGGTACCAGCCAGTCCAGTCCAGTCCCGTCAGTCCGCTGGGGTATACCCCAGCCATTGTTTGTTTTCAGTCTCATTCTTCAGTTGCACATTTTGGAGTACGTGCGTTGGAGTCTGCGTGGGGAGCTGCGCTGTGCACCTTGCTCCCTCCTTCTTCNGAGAGAGAGAGAGAGAGAGAGAGAGAGAGAGAGAGAGAGAGAAGTAAAAATAACAAAAAAAAAAACAAACGTTCTTCGTTTGTTAAACTTTGTACTAACGATGGCTGACGGGCTCAAACGGAGGTTAACGTCTGACAGAAAGAGAGAAACTCATCATGAAACCGCATACACGGGAACGAAACAAAGAAAGAATTCAACCTTCAGGTTTGGAAAAGCACAACCCTAAACCGAAACAAGAATAAAGGTTGAGGAATTAAACCAAAGAAAAGAAAAAACATAACAATTCCCCTCCGTCAAAAGAAGAAAAAGAACAGAAGTGGAAAAATGCAAGAGGATATCGATTCTGCTTCTCTTTCGTTCTTTCAATTTCTTTCTTTGTTTCGTTGTCGCACTCCAACAAACGGTCGCTAACGGAAACTCGACAAACGGGAGGTCAACAAACGGGAGGTATAACGGCGCTGCTGACTTACCCATCCTGATGCACGATATGACCGCAGTCGACGTAGATATGGTTGTCCCCCTTTCGGACGAGAGTGATGGTCGGCACTTCGTTCTTGTGTTCGTGGAAGAAGAAGTCACATTCTCCCAGCGGCTTGTCGCAACTGCCACTTGTGGGCGGCGGTGGCTTGGGACAGTTGGGTCCTCCGGGGCAACGATTTGGGCAGTTGTCGACATCGTCATCGCACTTAGGAGCGCCCTTCATCCGTCGGTGCGCGCACTCGGAGGGCAGAGCAGCAGAGAGAACGAGGGCGACGACGCCCAAGGCCAGCAGCATGGAAACRCGCAGGCGAGCCATGATGCTCGTCTTCCACYCCCACGGAGAGAGAGAGAGAGAGAGAGAGAGAGAGAGAGAGAGAGAGAGAGAGAGAGAGAGAGTCACAGAGCGGCCGTGAGAACTACCGTCGCCCTCGGSTTRAGAGCGAATGAACTACCAGCGCGGTGATGTTCGATGGGCTGTGCATGCTTGGTATTTATAGAGGCGAAACGCTGAGGGGTACTTCATTGAACGTTCGGGCCTGTGTGGAGCGAGGCGTAGTCCGTCAATGATAAGTGCGTAACGACGGACCTTTTTTTGGGGGGGGGGGGGGGGGGGGGGGGGAGAGGGGATGGGGAAACGTTCGACTTGCCCCATAGTGCAATTAGAACTCGTTTTTGTGACTCCTTTTTCTTTCTCACATACCGGAAGCCCCTGTTGAGTTCTGGATGACATGTGGCAGGAAACTAGAGCGGAAGGTAGTTGTTGATTCAATATCTGTTTTTTGGTGGCCTTTTCTCTACGGCGTGGAAACGCCCAGGGGAGCCATGTAGGCAAAATGCAGACATAGGGCCTCACCACTCTCGAAATGTGCAAAACCAGAATGAACTTCCCCATAGATCATGGCCAAATGCGGCCACCTCTACACGGGTTATCGGGGTATTTCCGCAAGGCCGCCTACCAGAAGTCTCAGAAATAAAGGCGTGAGGACAATCTGGGCCTTTGTCAACGATTCTACCAATGGGATGCGGAGAAAAGGAAGGGGTCAAGGGAATAGCCTGGCCTCTGGCTGAAACAGGATAGTGGCCTCACTGGTACAGAAGGCTGTATGGAACAGTGAAAGCAGGGGAAAACTCATAAAACCTCCTGGCGAAGAAACCTTTGTATCAGTACTAGCAAGAAAAATGAGATAGGCATACGAGCAAAGGGGGGTTGGCGACGGACCGCGCAAAAGCTGCGCTATTCTGGCGTTAGGCGCTATCGGTGACGGTAGCGGTAGTTGACTCCAGGGAGGCAGCGGAAACTCGGCTCGTGCCTTTCGCCTTGTCTTCTTCAGCATTTCCCAAGGGAGGCGATGCCGGGGCTTCTCCTCACCAAGTTTGGGTGGTTAGTTTCCGACCGTGGAAGATCGGTGGACAGGAGGGCGCTTTCCCCACGAGGAGCGTAGAGCAAGGAGTTCCAGGTTCATCGAAACTTCGCGCATGTTTGACATTTTCGGACGACAGGTGTCAGACTATTCGTGAGAAACTCGGATAGTCTTAACAAGAGACGACGCTCAGAGACTTCCACACAGGTTTAACCCTCTCGACACATAGCCTTGGGAAGGGTTGAGAGAGTAAACAGAAATACCCAAAATATCGATGCCTCTATTTATATAGATAGGCCTTTATCATAGACAATAGGACTGTTTACTAGTTTGCGGTCTCTATGGCGACAGCCAACGCTAATTCTTCTTGGACTGATGCGGATAAGCAAAGAGCGAAGGAACTGATAGCAACATGCTACACAGACGGAGTATTCCCGGAAAATCTTGCACCGAACACGGTTGAAACGGGTGAGGATTATGTCAGAGTCACGATCAACCCAGAAGTCTACCAAATCCAAGCCGAATGGCTAAGGGAACATGTTGTGACTGTGCTCTTTGGTGACGACTCGACATCCTTACCAATTGACGTTAAGAAACGGCTGGTTCGTATTTATGAGAACGGTTGGGCTTCTGCTGGAGACATCGCTGTCCCTCTGAAACGGAGCTTATTTCATAACGAAGGGAAGAACCTGGTGACTTATGTGGCACCCGCGAAAGAAGTAGCAGCATGGATGTTGAGACTAGCTGGAACGGAAATTGAGCTTGATTCGAAACATTACAAGGTTTCTTTCCGGCCATGGATGTCGGAGCACAAATTGTGGGAATGGAGGGAAGTCGCTAGGTTCAATTTTTTTTGGATCAGGTGCATGCAAGTCCCGCTGGGGGCTCTCCCCCATCTGTCCAAAGTCGTACAAGACGCGTTCGGAACAATAATTAAGGAATCCCCGGCCTTCGCTGACAAGTTAAGCCCGGATTTAGTCAATATCCGCTTTGACTTAGAGTCAGCAGCCCGTTTACGATACAAAGGATGTTTGATTGTGGATATGGGGGAACACGGGTATGTGGAAATTGATGTGGTATGTGCAGCCACCCCGTGGTGTCCCGCGTGCAGGAAGCACTTTCACTACAAAGGAGACCTGGACTGCACTGCAGGAAAAAGAAAATCGTACGCCAGCACGGTTAAGACTTCCAATCCTAAGAAAGGGAGAGGGGAGAAAGGTGGAGGAGGGGACAGAAGGAAAAAGCAAGGGGAGGAAGAGAGCCGAGGGGAGAAAGGGGATGATAGTGGCAAGAATGGAGGCAGAAGCGGAGGCGGGAGTGGAGGGAAGCAAGGGACGCAGAGTGAAGCAGGGGGAGGGACTGGGGGACGCACTCGAGGGACCAGTCCGGGGGGTGATGGTAACACAGAGAAAGAAACCCCGCCCCCCCCCCCCCCCCCCCTCCCAGCAAGGAGGATGGGAGTGGAGGAAGTGGGGATATGAACTTAGACGCAAGGGGAGACCAGGTTGAACGGGATTTGTCAGACTTGCCCCACAAAGGAAACAAAGGGTCTGGAAACAGCCCAGTTGGGATGGAGCTGGATCGGGTTGTTGTCAGAGAAAAGAGAAAAAGGGAAGAACAGTTGCGGGAGGATGAAGAAAGACTGCCAGAGAATGAGGCAATCCAAGTCGGTAAGGCTTTGGTTTTATTCAAAGAAAGGGAATTAGATTTCAGATCTCCCCTTCCCTCGCCCCCCCCCCCCCCCCCCCCCCCCTCTCCCTCTTTCTCTCTCTCTCTCTCTCTCTCTCTCTCTCTCTCTCTCCCCCCCCCCCCCCCCCTCCCCCTTTGGGTCCTACTTGAAATCCTCAGATGAAGAGGATGAAGAGGATAAGGATAGCCTGGAGGAGAGTGAGGGGGAAGACGAGGAGGAGGAAGACCTGGATACATCCTCCCTCCTTGAAGAAAAGAAGAGACGTGTTGAAGAAGTATTGACAGGGGGTTTCAAGGTAGAGAGGGTGGGAACTCCGGAAAACGAAAAGGGTGAGGAATCACCGGAGCTTACCCCCAACTCTTCCCCCCTCCGCCCGAGCTCGGTGATTCTAAGGATTACAGGGCAACACAACTCACCCCAGCTCCGACCAGCGTCGCCCCAGTAGCAACCCTTGGTTGTCCCGTCGAATGCCCACCCCAAAGCATCCCCAGATCTCTCTACCAGGCCTTACGCTCCTGCATCAGCAGGTTACAGGGCAACACCCCAGCACCGGCCAGCGTCATATGGCCTCGAACAGCCGCAGATCACTGAGTATAACAGCATCGAAGCCACCTAAAACGAGTTGCTAGGAGTCCCCAGAGTCCTAAAATATTCTTAAGACCACCAAACAGCCAACTTACTTGTGAAGAAAACAAAAAACAACTAAGATTATCCGAGGCTTTCAGACCAAAAAAACACCTGCCCCGGTGCATTTCAGCAGCCCAACCTTATCCGCCTCCGCCTGAAACCCCAATACTCAATCTCTACCAGGCCTCATACCCCCAACTGCTAGGTTACAGGGTGGCGCGACCCACCCCAGAAACCCCCACCTGCTAGGCTACAGGGAAGAGCGACCCGCCCCGACTCCGGCCAGCGTTGACTAAGTACCAGCCCACCAACAGACGAGTTACAGGGCAGCGCTACCAAGCCCCAGCACCAACCAACGTCGTTTTGGCCTCGTCCATTCGCAGACCACTACGACGAACGGACGTCAGCAGATAACAGACAAACCACCAATCCTCACCATAAATGTGGTTCCCATCATCCATCTCCTGCAGGAACTGGTTGCAATCGGCCAACAAAATTCATTCTCACCCCTACTCCGGCAAGACTTACTACGGTTGAGCCACCATCTCCACCGCCGCTATACCCTATTCCCGCCCTACAGGCTAGCCCCTTCGCCGCAAAGCGCGTTATCTCCAACCATCACCACCAAAACAACCCACTACAACCAGCATAAACTCAGATACACGTTGTTTCAAATTCAAAAATAGAAGGCAAAATTATGACATAAAAATCGGAAGCAAGAATTGTATAAGATTTTTTTAGAAATTTGAGATTTGAAATTCAATACTCTGGACACAAAAAGTAAGAAAAAAGTTATACGGAATAGGAAATTATAGAAGATTAGAATTTCATATTTTAGTGCAATAATTTTTAAGAATTTTTAAGGAGACATGCGAGCGAAGTTTGGAACATATCGCGAGATTTCAAATTTGAGAAAGTCACATATAAGAGATTTTAATGAGACATACGAACGAAGTTTGGAATTAATTTGAACAACGATTAGGAGTTAGGACCTTGATATTATGATCAAATTTATGAAAATCAGTATGAAGAAGTTCAAACAAGAAATTCGAAAAAAACAAAATTTAAAATATAAATCGCGATGAATTTGATCACAGCAACAGTGCAGGATCAATCAAGAGTATACACCATTCATAGGCCTAGTGAATAAGATCGCCTACAAAATTTCAAGACGGACGTAGAAAGACTTCCAGACACCATCCCCCAAACATTGCTCCAGGGTCAGCGGATGGGGGGGAAGGGATCATCGAATTCCTGAGCAAGTAGTAGCGGGTCGCTGGGGTCCACCCTTGTCCATTCGTGGAAGTGCAGCGAATAGTTCATTTCCAATTCTACCCTTTGCCCCTCTTGCGAACGCTGATCTATCCTATCATCTGTCCAGCTCATGTTTGTCACCCAGCCCTCCCTTTCCCCCCCCAGCCATTCCTCACCGAATCGAGAGATAAGTCTGTCGATGTCCACCTTGGTGTGTGCCTGGTTCAATTTTCCCTTGACGGACTGCCATTGCGCCGTGATCTCATGTTGTACTAGTAGCTGTAGTTGCTCCGTGGTTTCCCCCTCTTCCACCATGACTCCCTCCAATTCCAGAATGCATCTTCTTCACCATATTACCCACATGATGAAACACCTACCCAGGAAGTACATGTTCTCCTGAAATGTGTTTCCCAGAAGGAAAATAGCAGACAATAGGGCCTCACCACACTACTCTCGGAATGTGCAAAATCAAAATGAATTTCCCGGTAGATCATGGCTAGATGCAACCGCCACATTTGTCCTTTAAA